CGGTTGAAAAGCTGACTTAGGCAGATTAAATTTTTTTTTAGGTAACATTGCAAGCAACAAGGACGACAAGAGTGAATCGAAAAGGCAATGGTAAGAAGAGGCAAAGATCTGTTATATACGAGAGAGGGTGAGGGTCTCTAGTTTCAGAATCACAATCCGACACAGAATATGTGAGTACCGTGGAAAGTACCGATGTTCGAGCGACAGGAACAGATGTACTCACTACAGAATCACAACTGTAAGCACTGCCCGCTAATGTAGAAACAGCTTTCAAAAAACAGGATTTCAGCCCTCCACCAATCCAAGATATTTTACATCAGCAAGAATCAACATCAGGAAGTCACTCTGGAGCGTCAACTTCATATATAGACAGTCATCAGTATCAGACCGATCCAAGCACCACAGTTACCCATACAACTATAACATATTCTGATGGTGATACAAATGATGGAGCAGCTTTACCAGCAGCCAAAGATTCCTCTCAGGCAGAGCACGATAGTAAGCCGGAACGACTAGTGAGAAACAGGCCCAAAATGGTAAATAGTACCACCTTTTCTTCCAAAAAGAAGATGCATCCGTTCAGGTTGTGCCAAACGCCAGTGTGCCAGTGCTAAGTCCCTTATTTCTGCGCTGCAACCCACTGCAAAGAGCTGTATTTGCTCGAGTATCGCGAACGCATTCGTTAACTCCAGTGGAAAGAGTAGAAGATTGGAAAGCTGAGAAGGTGAGCTCGAACTGATGTAAGTCACAAGAAAGAAAAGATCGACAATCAACCAATAACTGATAGAAACCAGCGGGAAATGGAGCAGCCTCTCCATGATATCACAATTTTTATTGAACGTAGCTGTGGAGTGGTAGGAGCAGAGATCGATTATTATGTAACCATCAAGCGAGGCGGAAGGTTTCAAACAAATGAACGTAGTTCCCTCCGAATTCCTAGCTTAGAAGGGATAGATCCAAGTGTTTTTTCAATGAATGATGTATACCATCCAATTCTCAACTGTTGATTTGAAAACTATGCGTATAAACAAGTAACGAACTTTTCTTCAAAATGGCGTATCGGCGAAATTGCGAAAGTTCAATGATGGCGCAAAAAAACAGTGCTACAGCTCGTTTACAATGCTTCAAAACAAATTCTGGTATTGTTGTTTCAAGCCAAAGCTGACGTTTCCAATAACTAAAGGTCCAACGAGCTAATTTTTTGAGGAAAAAGCTCATAACCTTAACATATTGGTTTGGTTATCAAGGCATCATAGCCCATTCCTTGATCGCGATGTGCTTGAAACAAAGTTTGTTCTTACAGGGTAGGATAAGGAGAAATGATAGTGTTCTAAGCGGTCGCCTAGTTCATTTGGTTAAGCCTAACCACTGTTATTGCAATTTGCAAAAAGATTAACCATTCCGTTCTCCGTCACCGTCACTTCGCTTTCTTTAGGGTTACTCTGCTCAATACCGGCTAGCACCAACGGCAGAAGTACCTGTGCAATGCACATTCACCATGCATGCCTTCCTTGCTCAATTTGCTGCTGTCCAACACATCATAAATACTCCAGTTCTTAACGTTTCCGCATTTTGTTTACC